ATGGAGGGTGGGGGCCAGATACTGATCAGTGACAAATGCAAAATTACATTAGGACAGAAGGGAGAGATACATATAAACATCATAGTCAACATGGAAAATCTGATGTTGTCATGGCACCAGGCAGGTTTCTTGAGGAAGGATGAGTTGATCTGGAGGAGTGAGGTAACTGGGCCCAGAGTGCTATTCCAGGCGGAGGGAACAGCAGGAGCGAAGGCCCTGAGCGGGAGGAAGTGAAGGGCAGGAGACCAGCACGTGGGAAGCACCCCGAGAAGTCCAGCGGCCTAAACCCTTCTGCATCTCAGCTGCCATATCTATAAAAGAGGATAAGACCTCTTTTGTGTGCCCAACACGTTGTTGGAGTAGCGAAGTTATGAGCTCCTGAAGGATGCTGGCCCTCAGAAAGGATTTTCCTGCAGCAGGTGAAAGAGGTTGGGAGGCGGTGGTAGTCGTTCCCAAAGCCCCCAAAATCCAGCGAGGGAAGATCTCTGGGTCTTCACCTAGCCTAACTGAGCCCCGTGCATTGCCAGACAATTTTCCAATCTGATTAAAGGATTTCACAAGGATGTTATTCCAACATTTTTTTGGCAAACAAAAATTAGAAACGATGCATATCCATCAACGGGGACCTGGTTAAATGAATTATGGTATTGCTAGTTCAAGGGCACACAGTGCAGTTCTTAAAAAGAACAACAGACCTACATGTAAAGTAAAATGAAAAGAACTCTAAAGTACATTGTTAAATGGGGGAGAGTGTTATACAGAACAATGAATGTGGCTGGCTACTAGTTATTAAAATGTACAGGCATGAGCAAGCGGCTTACTCAGGCATCACTGTCTCTGCAAAGGTAAGCCCAAGGCTGGTAACAGCTAGTGTCTCTAAGTAGGAAAATTAGGAAGCTAGAGGTAGGAAGAGATTTTGTTCATTGAATACCCTTTTTTTTTTTTTTTTTTTACTACATTTGGGCACGGGTATAATAAGATTAGTCAAGAGTTCAAAAAATTTGATACTTTTCAACTTTAAAAAAATAATCCAATCTTTTAAGTCAGACCCAGAAGCACCACTTCTAATCATGGGATTATGGGTGAGCCTCCGTTTCCTCTTCTGCAATATAGGGATCATAACAGTAACTACTGTTATGGTGGGTGAGGATTAATTGAAGTACTAGTGCTTGAAAGTATTTAGTCTAATTTTTGGAAGGTAATGGTTATTCAATAAATATTACCTATTAATATCAGCAGTTATTAATTTGTACTAGCTAGGTAGTTGTATTTTATTATTCACAATGAAAAAAATGCACTGAAGTTGCCCTTTGAAAATGTATCCGCAGTGACAGTAGTCACCTACCATTCTTTCAGCATAAAGGACATACAAGGACACCTACAGGGTCCAAACTGAACCTATATTAAGGAATGAGACCACTGCTCAGGTCTTGCTTATCTGCAAGGTCCCTCTCTAGCAAGACCAGCCTTGGAGTTGGGCAGGGACAGGGGAGAGACTTGCCTGTCCCCCAGACCTGCCCCACTCACACTGGGAACCAGGGGACAATACCAAGACTTCTCCCCTCAACCCTCCATCCTTTCTCACCTACAGGACGACAGACGCACTGAAAGGAGGAGCCAGATTAGACACTGCCCAAGTCTTTCATGTGGATCACAGCTGAGAAGGCCATACAGAGGGACCCCTGGGACCTTGCTCACAAGCGCAGTAGGTAATACAAGGGACCCCCTCCCATACCTGCTCCCCACAATTCCCTAGAGTTGGAGTAGCATGGGGAAAGACAATGGACTTTGTAATTAAATCTGAGTATGAATCCAGGCTCCACTACACATTCACTGAAAGACTTAGGGCCTCTCTGAACCTCAGTGAACCTGTAAAATGGAGATAATATCACCTCCCTAGAAGGGTTCTTAGTACACAACAGGTACTTCCTAAATGTGTCTCCCTCTTAGGGAAACCTGTAGCTTCCTAATTAAAGAAATGCACAAAGGCATGTACAAAGTCTTGGCATTGCTGCGAATCAGCGAAGCAAACTCAGAGACTACACTACTGGGCTTTCAACCTGGAGGGTCACATTCGCATGCTGGTGCCTCAGAAACAAATGGTGTCCAGTGCCAAAGGCACATCTGACAGTGCTTTCCCAGACCAACGTTTATGAGCCTCCAGATGGAAGGACACACCACCTCCTGTGAAGCCATCATGTCCAAAAACCAGACCTGAACTTCATCAAGCCTCTAGAGCTAATGCCCACCATAAAGGAAAGGCAAGGGACAGAGGAACGTGGTAAACATCACCATCGGGTTGCAGTCGGCAGAATCCTAACTGGGAAAATTTACAGTTCAACAGGCCAAGTTTCTTCAACAATAAGACAGGCAAGGGAAAGAGAGAGACATAGAGGGAGAATCCACAAATTAAAAGAGACTTAAGAGACATATTACCTAATTGCAGTTTGTGGACTTTATTAGGATCCAGACAAGTGCAAATAAATTGAAAAAATTTGAGATAATTGGAGAATATTGCACACTGACTGGACATGTGATGATGTTAAGAATTTTTTTAGGTGAGATGATGGTATTGTAAATATCTTTCAGAAATAAATATTGAAATATTTATAAATAAAAAAACATGATGGTTTGGATATGCATCCAAATAAACCTGAGCTGGGAAGGGTTTACACAGAATATGAAGCCAGAATGCCCCTGAGTTGATTATTCTTGATGCTGAGTGATGGGCACATGGGGTTTCATTACATGACTCCCTTTGATTTCATATGTTTGAAATTTTCCACTTTTATTAAAAGTAAGTGACTAAGCCATAGGTTGGGAGGGGAGGCCTATGAAATACATAACTGGAAAGGATATAGAAAGAACTGCTGCAAATCAGTAAGAAAAACAAATATAATCCAATAGAAAAATGGGCAAAGGCTATGAGAAGCAAGTCATAGATGTGGAAATGTGAGTGGGCAACAAGCAAATGATAAGATGGGCAGCCTCACTTGTGACTTGCGAAACATGAGTTAAAACCATCTCACAGGCAGGGACGTGAAAGTGTTGGCAGAACTCTTGCACACCGAGAGAGGAATTATAATTAGTTACTTTTACTTTAAAATAAGACAAAACCCAGTAAAGCTGAAGATATCATACCTAAAACTTGGCACTGACCTTAAGGAAACACTTATGAAATGGACCTAGGAAGTGGTAACAAATGGCTGCTAATATTGCAAAAAGAGAGACAGCAGACATTGCGTGTCTCTTGATGGAAAACACCACCCCAACAATAGAGTCATATTATCAGCAAAATTAAACCTGAACCCAAGCCTCTAAATGCCAATTTAAGGAAATACAGGAAACAGAGGAACAGATCAAATAACACTTCAGAGATGCAATCAGCACAATCTCAGTGGTGAAAAACCCTACAAGGCTAATGACTCAGTGTGTTCAAAATATAAATGGTAAGAAAAAAGAGAAAGAGATGAGGAAGGAGTTTAGACAGAAAGAAACATAAGACAGTAGTCAAATTCATAGAGACATAAAGTAGAATCATGGTTGCCAAGGGCTGGATGGAGGGGGGATTGGGAAGTTAGTGTTTAATGGATACAGAGTTGGGGAAGATGAAAAAGTTCTAGAGTTGGATGGTGGTGATGCCACTGAATTGTACACTTAAAAATGGTTAAAATGGTAAATTTTGTTGTGTATATTGTATGATTTTAAAAATTTAAAGAAAAAGAAACAGAAGAGACATAACCAATTATAATATGTGAACCTCATGTGGATCCTGAATCCAAAAAAAAAACAAAACTATAAAAAATTATGAGACAATTTGAAATTTGAACATTGACTGATATTTTATGATATAAAGGAATTACTGGCAATGGAGGGTTGATACCGATATCTTATGTTTTCTATTATTAGAAAGATATATTCTAAGATCTCTATAGATGAAATAATACCCGGTATTTGATTAGAATAATACAGAAGGAGGAAGCAGGTGCAGTTGACTTGAGACAAACTTGGCCAAGACTGATAATAGCTCAACTTCACGACGGACACATGAAAGTCCTTACCTACCTGCTTTTGGATACTGAGCCTTTTACATAGCAAAGAAGTTTTAAAATGAAGTTATTATATACAGGCACAAAAGGACATGTGTTAAAATGTTCATGGCATCATGGTTTACAATAGCAAAATACTGCAAACAACCTGTCAACAAACACACAATTGAACAAAAAAGTGTGGTTATATTTCATTCAACAGAGAACTATAAAGCCAAGAAAGCTAATGAACTAGATCAGCTGGTTCTCAACCAGGTGATTTTGTCCTCAGGGGCACATCTGGCAATGTCTAGAGACACTTGTGGTTCTCACAACCATGGGGAGTAAAGTTACCGGCCTCTAAGTGGTGAAAGCCAGAGATGCTACTAGACATCCTATGACGCACGGAACAGCCCCCACGACAAAGAACTGTATGGCCCAAAATAATATCCACGGTGCCGTGTCTGAGAAATCCTATACTAGATCAGTGTGGGATACTCCTCAAGGCATAATATCGAATTAAAAACAAGAAAGAAAAAAAAGTGGCAAACAGATATGTACAAGAAATACCATGTAGGTAAAAGTTAAGAACACAAATCCAAGACTGTTTTACTGCTCGTGGAAATTTATCTGCATTATAAAGCGTAGTAAGACTATGGAGGCGAAGGCTATATGCCAATTTCAGAATATGGATTACTAGAGGGAGGAGCATGAAATGTTTCCTTAATAGAATTTGTAACTTGAAAAAAATTCATTCTACCCCCTTCCATCCAAACAAAAGCAAACGTGGTAGAGATTAATGTGGGTAAAATCTGGATGGTGGGTACACGGATGCTCACTCTTTTAGTCTCCTTGCTTTTCTATACCCTTGATATTGCTAACAATGAACAAGCGGAACAGTGGGGCTGTAAGCAGCAGCAGAGGCCAAGTGGACAGACAGGAGGGTCCAGATCTTCAGGTGGGAGTACTCACCGGCCCTCGGAGATCGATGAGCTCCTGCCTCATCTGGGACACGAGGGCTTCCTTGGCCACCAGGGCCCTGTGCAGGCGCTCGTTGAACTCGATCAGCTCACCGTGCATCTCTGCCACCTGGAACACACAAGCACCAAACAGTGAGGCTCAGGGGCAGACCCTCCCCAGTGACATGTCCCACCCCCTCTGGACCCTCCTTCCTGCCCTGTCAGCAAGGCATAGGCAGGTTGTTGAAGCTGGACTCGATGACACTGCTTACCTATGCACCATGCAAATCCACCTGTAAATGAACACATTTTGACTTGCTTGATCTTAACACTTTGGAGTCAACACGCCACAGTTTATGGTCAGAATATGATAGTATCAGGTCATTTTTGAATCTCAGGCTTTTATTCTTGTGATGAACACTTTTCTAGGAAAGGCTTTTGTTCTAATCTGAATTGTACCCGTCAAGAATTTCTCTGCTAATGGCACAAGGAGAATAACTCCAACCACTCTGTTCATCGGGTCTTTGGTTGTGATAAGTTTGAAAACAGAACCAGAGCCTTATTAAGGACAGTGGCGATAATGTCACTGTTTATTCTGCGTCAGGATAAATCCTTCCCATGCACTCCTTGTGGCTTCACCACACTAGCTCTGAGGCCATATTATTATTCCCACCTGGCAGAAGGAAAAACAGTACCTAGGTGTTTAAGGAGCTTGTTCAAGGTCATACAGCTAACCAAGGACGACTCCGGAGCTCTGTCTATGTGCTGTGATCCTACCACTGTACTAAGATGCAATCCAGTCAGATGCAATCCAGGCCTGCTGTGAGCCATGGAATTTTTCCAAGTTGAATTATTCAATACACTTGGCTGATCCCAAATAAATAAAAACAGAGGTGGCTATAAGGTAGTCCATAACCAATGTACAGACTACTCAACTACAGTTTATTCAAACATTTTGGAGAAAAGTGAGATGTAATCCTGCCATGCTCTGCAAGAATCCTGAATGAAGAATCTTGCAAGCATCTTAAAGAGAAACACCCAGAATGCAAGATCAAGCAGACCCTCACCCCAAGAGATCACCTCTCCTGTATCCCAGACTTCACCTAAGCACTAACCATACCATATGCAATACATACATAACATCGGTTCATATGTAATAAGTACTTTACAGGAGACATAAAAGATACTGTCAGAATACAGAAGGGATATAAGAAGAAGCTTTGTGGGAAAAAGTTTGCTAGCCTGAGTCCTGGTACATCAGGAGGAATGAAATGGAAGCCTCCTTTTTTGTTGTCCTTATATAAAGGGTAAAAGGCATATAAGGAAATGCACCCAGATACCAGCAGTAGCCAAGGGTAGGTTTTCTCCTCATTCTTTCTGCTTTTCCTTACTTATGTTTCCTAATGAGCACTCCTTCATTTATCAGTGAGAGAAAACACTTAGACTCTTTCATGAATTAAGATTCTTTACCCGAAATAAAAGGGAGCCATTGTGTAATCAACATAAAATTTATCAGGTTCCTAATTGTAATCTTGATGCTTCCATTAACTTGCTCTGTGAATGCCACTCAAATGGCATCCCCTCTACCCCTGAGGAGCCCATCTCTCGCAAACCAGTGTGAAATACTAAGTGCAAATGGCACAAAAGGTACAGCAAGAAGCATGCAATTAACAAAAGGAGAGTAAGTCACACTGAGCCTTTTACCAGCCTTTTTCTTTGTACAGACCTAAAATTAATATTCCCCAGTTGCATTATTCCTTTTGTAAAAGAAAAGCTTAAAGTTGATCTTCTTTTGGCTCTTAACAAACAAATACAATATTGCTAACGTAATGCCTGTGCGAATCCTCCACATGTGAACCACATAAACCTCCCATGAGCTTTCTCAGGGTTGTGGATCAATTTACCATACAATAAGCAGGAAATACACAGCTGCCAATATTACTGCTAAATACCTGATAATGTACCCCCACAAAATGCGAGGCTTCAAATAAATGCCACTGTCATTTCCAAAGCAAAGCAGATTTTGCATTTTGTTTTTGTTTTGTTTTACAGTGGGAGCCAGAGTGTTACGACAATTTTCCATAAATGCATAAAACATCAATATATTCCAGATTCACATAATACTGATCAGGAGCTGTCAAAACCCTGGCTCTCTTTTGCAAGCAGAAGAGTGACTTGACCACATCAGAGAAACATTTTATTTCACTAGGGAATGGGGGAAGAAAAAAAAATCCAATGGAACTAAAAAGACAAGATTTGACAAAATAATTTTCGGCAACCATTAAAACTATGATGTTCACTGTTACTCAGCTAACCTCTGAAACTCTAAATTTTTATATTACATATCCCTACATATATAAACAGTCATTGATATAAACAGCTTGCATCTTACATAAACCACAGAGCTTACTGTTCCTCGAATAATTATTTCCAAATTCTAGTTTAACTAGAAACAAATTCAAGACTCAGAGACAGCCTCAGAAGAGGAATGTGAGATCACAAACAGCTCCCATTATCATAAAAATAAAAGTAGGCTGCACCACCAGTGCTTCTTGGAATTTTCATTAGGCTTTGAGGGCACTTACAGGTCTCATCTGACCTTCCTATTTTCAATAGCCAAGGAGAATGGCAAAGAACAGGATAGGGAGAGAAGAGATACCCAGCAGTCCATCCTGCCCCAAGCAGGCAGAGTCATCTTCCCAAAGTAACATCTGCTATCGTCACCTGCTGTTTAATACCTTCAGTGCTTCCACTGCCCTGAGGATAAAATCCAGTCTCCTTCAAGCTGTGGCCCCAGCTTCTATCCAACCCCATCTCTCCCTCTTGGAGTCTCACTAACATCACTCAACCCCACAGGTCTTCTCTGTCCTATAAACACGCTGAGCTCTAGGAGGTATGTCTAGCAGAAGAAGCTGCAGGTACAAAGGTGGGCACCAGAGGTTGGCAGTGAGGCAGCTGAGAGAGGGGGTTAAGGTCTCAGGCTTGGGTGCAAGACAGGCCTGGGCGGGATCAGTTATCGACAATGTGCTCTGGTGCCCACCTTAACACCTTTTCACCTTTAAAGACATTTCATCTCCAGCAGCCTGGGGGCTGGCCAGTTAGCTCAGCTGGTTAGAGAGTGATCTTGTAACACCAAGGTCAAGGGTTCAGTTCCCCATACTGGCCAGCCACCAAAAAAAAGATATAAAATGGGGATTAAAAACCATACCCACCTGACCAGGCCACCGTGCAGATGACATGAGATGCTTCACTAAGCAGGCCTGGCAGCATGTCTGGGGCATGGTAAGTGCTCAGTGAACGAGAGCCAGTTTTACATGATATTGGATCATGTAGGGAGACATGGAGGCAACAGATAGGTGGGTCTCCAGAGACCGTATGGAAAAGAACCACAATGAGCCATGCCAAGGAGCTTAGACAGCTGTGAGCAAAGACTCGTTCTCCCCCAAAGTGAGACATCACAGAGCCGCTAACCATCTGCCAGGCATGGCACTGGGTACTGATGGGGACAGGCGAGTCACACAGTTCATATCCTTTGACATTTGGTCAAACTATGATAAAGCAACTTGAAGGGAAGACAGGGTGTCAGAGAAGACCTCTCCAAGAGACAGCGTTCAGGAGTCACTTACCTAATGGGCCTCGGTACATGCCAGGTATCCTCCCATGGCAGATCTATGCCCTAAATCTCCACTAGGCACTCGCAGTGTTCTGGAGCCATCAATGCTCATGCCAGTTTGGGAGTCTGACATGTTTCTTTCTACTCTCAGTTATTATAGTCCATGGAAATAAATTGAAGGCAGTTAAGGAGGAGGTGCCATCTGACAACACTAATGACAGTAACAAATCAAAAGCAAGTACCAGGTGCAGATACAATAACCAGGGCTGATGCAACTCCAAATGCAGCCCAACGTGGGCCTAGGATCAGGAATGGAGCCCGGATCCTCTTAAATGTCCAAGGAGAACACCTGGCTAGTAAAAGCTGTAGTCCCTAAGTCATGCCTGGAAGGAACACAACTTAATCAATCAGGTGCAAAGGCAAAATCACCATTTGGGTTTCATCCTTCAGGCTGGAGAGAAGGTAGGCAGATTTGAGAAGTTTAAGTAACAAGGCTGTTTGGCAACATCTATCAAATTTTTAAAATTACTCGCCTTTGGCTTGCAAATCACTGCTGGGCACTTATCCTTCCTCTCTACTTGCATATGGGCTCAAAGCACGAATTTAGCTCCAAATGGCTGGAACCTGCCAAATGCCTATCCAAAAGTGACTGGTTAAATATCCCAGGATTCTGCTACTCTCTCCTACAGACTCCCTTGCGGCAGATAGCACTAATCAATCACCGCACCCCTTCCTTGAGAAAACTCTTAGGCAGCCATAACCAATCAAACAGTGTACTGGCCTACAAGATGACATCTATTTTGTAGTCCTGGACTAAAAGATGGGGGGAAATGTCATCAAGAAGGTGACATTTAAGTCAAGCTTTGGAAGATGATGTCTTTTGGGGCTTCAGGAGACTGAGTAATTCTTTCCAGGTGGAGTATAAGAGAAAATGATCTCCAAAAATAATGTGGCTGTGAAAAAGCTTTTAAGTCTGTGAAAATCCCAGAAATTATCATAATTACCTGCCAAATCACGAAAAGATTATAAATTTAAAAAAAAACAAACGCCTCTGGTATTTCCTTTCATATCAGAATGTTCTATCTAATCACATTCAAGTAAATCATGCTTCATCCTCCTTCAGCTAACAAATTAGACATTTCTTGATTAATTAGATCAAGACAGCACCCCCAAATTTCAATAGCAGCTGAGGCTCTTTTGGTCACATACCCAAACTCCCCAAGAATGTTCACTGAGATGCTTCAGAATCTGAGTTTTATAAAACTCACAAACCGTGTTTTGGCCCCGTTTACACTGGCTGTGGGGAGGGAGCTGCAACTTCTTCCTGTGATGACTGTATTGCACCTGCCTAGTTAAAAATGAACCTAGGCAGTGCCCACTTTGCCTTAACACACTTTTGAGCACTAACTACATGCCAGGCCTCTTATAGGCATTAGGTACACCAGCTCATGTAATCCTTGCAAACTTCCTGCAGGGGGAGGGAGGACACACATTCTTTACAGAAAAGGCTATTGAGG